GATTAAAAGCTGTGACGAACTTATTCTGCACTGCTCAGTTTATATCTGGAAATATAGATTCTCGTACTCAAGTGGACGTCATTTATACTGATTTCTCAAAGGCCTTTGTCCGAGTAGATCACGGCATTCTTCTTAACAATTTAGCTGACTTTGGTGTCATTGGCCATCTTCTCCTGCTGGTTAAATCTTATTTGTCAAATAGAGTATCTTTTATTTCGCACAATGGCTTTAAATCTAACACTTATAAAATTGCATCAGGTGTTCCCCAGGGGTCTGTTCTGGGACCTTTATTTTTCATTATTTTTATAAATGACATTGAACTACAATTGGATGTCACTTTTCTTTTATATGCGGATGACCTGAAGCTTCTCTGCCCCATCCAATCTTTAACTGACTATGAAAAGTTACAGCATAACGCAAACATGCTCAACTGCTGGAGTCAGGAAAATAGTTTGCCATAGAATGCTGAGAAGTGCAATGTGGTCAGTTATACGAACAAGACGCAGTCGATCATATTTGGCTATGATATTGGTGGTGTGCCCCTTAATCGATTGCATGAAATAAAGGATCTAGGTGTCATTTTCAACAGTAAATATTACTTCAATCGTCATATGGATTCAATTATTGCAGAGAGTTACAAAAAGCTGTGCTTCATCATACGCTGTGGTTGTGAGTTGCAGGATATTAAAACAATTAAGCTTCTATATAACTCACTTGTAAGATCGAAGCTTGAATATGCGGCAATTATTTGGCAGCCCTCCTACTGCTTCTGGATAGACAAACTCGAAAATATCCAACGGCGTTTTTTGAAGTACCTTTACTTTAAGGAAAATGGCATCTACCCACCGATTGGCTATCCACAAGAGCCTTTAGAAGAAGCTTTCGATTTTCAAAGTCTTAGGGAGAGGAATGATAAGTGCAGTGTTAAGTTCGTGACTGATATATTGCACAATCGTATTGATTGTTGCAATATATTGCATGATTTTAATTTCCTTGTCCCGCGTTTGAATGCTAGACAATGCAATACCTTCTATTTGCCTACCCCTAGAACAAATATTTTAAAGTTTTCTCCATTGTATAGCTCATGTGGTAAAGCGAATGACATTGCGGATCAATTAGATATATTTCTCTGATGTCCTATCTGCTGCGTGGTTCCTTATGATGTCTTGTCTGCTATTTGCTATTTAATTTTTTATCTACACTGCCATTTTTGTAAATATTTGTATATAGTATCCTTGTGATTGAACTTCCTACATTTGTGTGTAATATGTAAGATATTGTGTATTTTTGATATTTGAACTTTATCCTACTCTGTAATTGGCTTTGTAGCTGTTGGGTAGAGTATAAATAAATAAATAAATAAATAAAATAAATAAAAGCTTAAATAAAACTAATACATCGTCATCAGTGGAGATCAATACATTTGGCAGCAAAGTAATTTAAAAATGAAGGATGAACTGACCCGTTAGGCAAGTAAATATTGAAAATGGCCACCATGGCTCTCCATGCAATAATAAAGATTGGATCTATGGCGTCTTCCAGTAATTCCAAATACATTTCACCGGTCAAATTTCCAGGTTAGAAAAAAAGACCAACTAAATGATCGCCAAAAATACCAGCCCAAACATTTTATTTTTGTGGCTGCTGTGTATGAACCTCATGATAAATTCTGGGACTAGCATCGGACCAATATCGGCAGTCATGACGATTTACTACGCCATTTAAGAAAAAGGAACATTCGTCGGAAAAGCAAGTGTTGAATAGAAAATGTTCATCGTTCATAATTCGTTCACTCATATCTTCACAAAATTGTAATCGCTGATCAAAATCGTCTGCATTAAGTAGGTGAATTTTATACGGATGAAAACAATGGGGCTTTAGAATCCTTTGGACAGTTCGTCGACTAACACCACACACAGTCTCCAATTTGCGGGTACTTAACGTAGGATCTGCATAAACTTGCCCTAAAACCCCCACTTCTATTGCTTCGTTCCTTATGGGATTTTCAATGATGCGTTTTTTATTAGCGACTGACCCAGTTTCCCGAAATTTATCTACAAGTTCTAGAACATTCCGAAAAATATTTCGATAATTTCAACTCTTTCTGCTGTGGTTTAAGTATACCATGGTTAATTTATGTAATAAAGCATTACAAGTTATTTTAGCAACAAAGTTTGGTCAAATTAATCGCAAACTATGTACTAAATTCCTATTTAAAATAAGTACGAGATACTTCCTTATCTTTGTTCAAGAAATAACTTTTTTGCCACAAAAAAACGCTCCAATAGCTATTTTCAACAACAAAATGATAAACAATCCATGGGCGTAGTGAGGAAAAGCATTTACTTATTAAGTAAATTCTTTTTGTCAAATTTCTTCTGAAAGTAGTACAAACTAATCTGATGTATCCATTAAAGTCTACTTTAAGCTTTAAATCAATTAATATTCAAAACTACTGAACTGAAGACCATGTACTGTACATCATTATACAGGGAATGGAAAGACCTTTAAAATAAAGTATCACTCAACCCCCTTTCCATTTAAGATTTTAGGGTTGGTGTCACCCCCGCCCACGTGTTAACGTGATTTTTTGCCAAACTTGTGTCCCCCTCGAAAACAAAATCGACGGGTCTGAGCGTTTTTCCAAAAAAAAACTGAGCTGCCAGTAAATGCGTCTGTTTCGTTTTCGATGCGCCATCCTGTATATCAGGAATACATAGAAACAAACATTTGAAATACCCTTCTAACATATAAATTTTCACAAGGTCATCTTGAAATCTTTTTTAGTGCAATTAGAAGCAGATGAGGAAGTAATAATAAATGCAGTTGCTTTAGACTGTACAAGCATATTACATTGCTCTACATTGACTAAAAATGAAAATGGTGAAAACTTATTGGATAATCAGGAATATAAAGATGTTTCCAGAAAAATTAATGAAATGGACTTTCTAGCTCACCTGTGAGGCATTTGACTACATATTGTGAACATGTAGTTGCATACATTGCAGGCTTTATAGTTAAATGCTTGAAGAAATGCATTACCTGTAACGCATGTCTCAATTTGTTAGAAAGCGAAAAGTTGCAAATTAAAAAAAACTTTTGGAACATTGACCAATGCATCTAAATTCTTAATAGACATATGTAAAGTAGGAGAAAAAATTATCAGAGTAGCTAAGGCATGTGGGAGTATATTTAAGAAAAACCTTGTTCTGACATTAATGCAAAAGTCTCTGCAAAATATACCATTATCTTCCTTAGATTCACTTGGTTCGCATATTTATGATACAAAACATGTTTTTGACACTATAAAATTGATCCTCCAAAAATATTATAGTATAAGAATCTACCACGAACTAAACACTTTGAAGGACTCAAATCAAAGGATCAGAGCAAAGTTGACAAAACGCTTGCTATTTCAACATTCGTGAACTAATAAATCAACGCAATCTGTTTTATTTTTTTCATTGAGCTTTGTTAATGTTTTATCCACATACTAAATATAAATAAATATTTTTTTATTGTCTTTATTTATGTTTTCCTTTGGGTTTTGGGTGTTCTATTAATTAATTTATCCTTATTTTTATATTAAATGGGTCAGATTGTTACAGTGCCCATGATATTTTCAGAGCTGACTCAAATTCCATGCCAAAAATAAAATTATCAAATACAACCTAAAGTGCAAGCAAAAAATCCATCCTTTAATATGGTCGATTTCAATCAAGCATGGTCATATACAGTCAAACTTTGATATCAGTCAATTTTAATGATCACTACAATGCCGAACTCAATTAAAGCTGTACCCAACTGTGTCTAGCAATCAACGCAGCATTGGAACTCAAACCTAACATCATTTCTGTAGAAAAGGTTAATTTATTGCTTACAATCAAAATGAAACATTGTCAGCATTCACAAGATTTACCCATCCAGGTGATTAGGCAAATTGATAAAAAGTAATACACGCGAATTGAGCTTATTTCGATCATATTTCTTAGTTAAGATTAGATTTTTCATATTTTATTTCCGTAATTATAAAAACTCTTTTCTGAATGTATTTTCAGTTGCTTCACAATTCTACAAATAACCTGCATTTAAAGGTAGCTTCTTTCATATTTTGAACATTGTTTTCCCTCAACATTATGAATCCGTATTTGATTGTGCACTTAACCTTTAAAAAATATTACGCACGACAATGTCTACTCGGGGAAGAGAATACAATTTTCGTTCAAGCTCAAATTTTGTGTAAACAATGATCTGTTGATGTTGCTAACAAGCAATCCTCTAACGTGATACGAGCTTGGCTTCTTCTAACCTAGAAAGAATTCGTTGGGCTCAATAGCCGGAAAAAACCTAAATGACAGAATTATCCGTGAAAGCCTTCATTCTTCAAAAGTTCATGACTTTATTAGTGGATCTGAAAAAAACTCAAGGAAGCACTGATAGAAGGTTAGGTTTTAAGTTTGTCCAAATTTCATTCCCTAGCGAAGAATTCGAAAAGTGTTCTACAAGTTTTTTCCACACCGATATGTTCCACAAATCTATAAAAAATCACATTTATAAGTATAGACAGTAGCTTTGGTAATTTTTTCAAATCTTTTGAGCTAAATTGCACTCGTAAAACAATATTGTCGAAAGAAACACGCGTTTGAGGTTAGATTTGAAAAATTGACTGAGGTGATTTCACCAATTGTACCTTAAGTTGGATTAATTCAAATTGGGATAACTTTGGGGCAGTTTTCATATACAGTTCCACCTGTAGCCTTCTTGATATTTTTTGAATTCATTGTTTATAGAATTTTGTTGTAATGAATAATTGTATTGTCCGTCAAATATTTACGGAAGAATGATAATTTGCAAAAAGGCAGTGTGAGCATCTCTCTTCAACTTTCAGTCGTTCTAGGTTTCTTAAAGAAAACCTGATATGAGCATACCTTGTAAACTTGTTGTTGAATTTCGTATTTTTGGAACATGCTTTTTGATTATTTCCAATGGTTGTTACTTACATCATATAAGTAGGATAACTGATTCATCTGAGTATCATTCACCTCTGCCACCACTGCAGTTCTGATGCACAGCAGCTGAAGGGTCAGCACCCACATGCCCACCATCCTGAAATCTCAATGTCACAACAACCTTTGAACGCTGGCGAGGCACGTTGTTGTGATAAATATGGAATGCAAACGCTGCACGTGACGAGGGGAGGGCCTTATTTATTGAGCGGCCTGTGAAAATGGGAGTGTCTTGGCGCACTAAAATGAAGGTAACATTCACGCCGGCTTCTACTATTGGCTTGCGGCTCAGTTCGGCAATGGGAGTTCACCAATCAGAAGCCGTCTTCGTAGTAATGGATCTAAAAAATGTCCTCGATTTTTTCTAAAATACCTCTAAATTTAGTGAAAAACCAAAAAATTAGTATAACAAAAAGTCCTTTATAAATCGCCTGGTCTAGCTAGAAAATGAGATAACTTTCATTCGATTCAGGGATTACATTGGATAAGGGGGTTTGACCATTCATAAGAAGCTTTTGTAGTAATGGGTTAGATTAATATAATATCCGATTTCTTCCATGTTATCTCTCAAACTACGAAAAGTCATAAGATTTGTGTAGCTGTGTGTAAATGGAGAAATCCCCGTAAATCACTTGGTTTAGCTACAAATGCCTATTTTGTCATTTTTTTCCTTGGAGACACAAATGTAGGTATCCTACAAAGCAAATTAGACCAATCAGATAAGAATTGTATTTACGTTACAAATAATTTAACCAAACATAAATACCTCAGAAAGGTTACATCATTTGCTAATTACGTAAAGAGTTCAATAATTCCGCAACTAACTTCTATTATACACCTGTTTCTCCCTTTCTGGGTTGGTAGCAGGTCACTTATACTCGTATCTTATTAGATCATTGATTATTGTCATATCTTGATAAATTTTTTGAAGACACAAACAGAACTACATAGATCTTCACCAAAAATCTGGTAGATGTTCAATTTACCTTATTTTCTTTACAGCGAAGCAGCCGTGCAGGCAGAAGCCTAAATGCCAGAGCACCGTGACTGTTATAAGACGCTTAAAGAAATTTTGCTGACCTGATTTTTCAACCCCCATAGACTGGGGACAAAGCAGCGGTCGTATCGAACAGTTTTGGATGTACGAAGTTCGACACTGTTAGAATGAGAGGTCGAAGTCAGGCAGTCACATCACGCGGTGACATCATGGAGGACAGCTGTGGGGAACCAAGCCCATTGGCGTAGCTGTAGAAGAGAACTAGATGGCCAACGGCCCGCCGGTACGGAAGGGCCCCGAGACTGTCCGCCAGAAAATAATTTATGATCAGCTCTAAAAAATAGCCTAGCTTTTTATCAGCAGCTGTCGATATTGACTAGATGTGTTCATACCAGATTGGCACGGCTATAAAACGTAAAAAAAAAACAAAATGTCATTTTGCAGACTAAGTGGTTTTTAGGGTGCAAATGTACCTATAAAATGAGTGGTATTTGCTGTGTGAAAAAATTATTACTGAATATGCTGCCAATGAAGTATATTTAGCTATATTAGCTGTGCCGGACGGGTTATTTATATGTTGTCCTTCCTGAATACAGGTTATGTTCAAAGCTATAAATTACGATTTTTCAAATTTTTTGCGTTTTCAAAAGGAGGACCACTAGAAATCGCCACTACTCCCGCGTTCTGTTCAATTCAGCCACATCACAGAAAAATTAGGTATGACACATCACACTTCACATATTTTCGCAATGATTCTCATGTAGGGGCAGATTTGTATTTTCTATTGACAATAAATTTCTATGAAATTTAAATGACTTGAAATAAAAAATAATGCAACAATCTTTTCACTTTCATAAATATTCCTGTCTGTAGCATATTTTCCTCACCTGTCCCTTCACCAACCAGAATTTTCTTTTCTTAACTCTCTCTCATTTTTGAAATTTCGCGAATTTGCATGGGTAATTTCCAGAATGAGTAAGAAACCGTGGATAAGCAACTAATTTCTAGCTTTGAATCTCAAGTAAGTGAATTTGAGACAAGAAACCAACACATATTGTAACGTTGTAAAGGTGGACTGTATTGGGTGCTTCTGTGTTGTGAACACTAAACTTAATCAAGTTAAATAATATCTTTATTGTCAAAGAACATTGAAGAATTCTGCTTACAATTTTTTTATGTGTGTATGGTTTCGCGGTCGGCGAAGGAAAGAGAGGGATGCCGGTCGGCCTGGCTCGACGTTGCCACTTTGTTCCGTTCTTCGGATGTCTTCAGGTTCTCAACATGCCCTCGGGGTTGAAAGCTCCAGCTTTCAATGGGAAGAGGACAAATCTTGTGTAATGCCCGAGATAAGTCGCCGTCAGCTGTGCGTACTAGCACAACCCGATGAACGCCGTCATTCCCTGGTATCAGCTTCAGCACCCGTCCAAGGCGCCATTTCTTGGAAGGAAGAAAAATGTTGCTGGAGTTGCTGAATATGCTGGTAAGTTGTTAGTCGATTTTCTGGTACTTGACTATAATCTGGTTCTGGAATACTCAGTAGTGGGCGGCCAATCAAAAAGTGCGCCGGAGTGACACAGGTAAGATCTAATGGATCGGAGGAGAGTGGATACAAAGGACGCGAGTTTAATTCAGATTCAATATGAACCATTAGAGTTTCTCGAAGGTAAAGGAATTATTGCCCATGACTCTGCGAAGGTGATGCTTGGTACACCTTATTCCTGCCTCCCATATCCCTGCAAAGTGAGGTGAGCTTGCGGGGATAAAATGCCATGATATGTTTAAATTAGCCGCTTCTGTGGTGATATCAGATGCGTTACCTTTCAAAAATTAGCTAAGATCGCGACTTGCTCCTACAAAATGTGTACCTTGATTCGAATATATATCAGATGGTTTTCCGCGTCTAGCTATGAATCTTTTCATTGCCTGCATGAAACATGCAGTGCTCAGGGAAGTAACTAGTTCCAAATGAATTCTTTGGTAGCAAAACAAATAAATAGAGCTATCCAGCATTTTTCAATCTTGCATCCGCGCCCTCTAAGGTCTTTGATCAAAATTGGTCCAGCGTATAGTTTGGCAAACGGATCTGCAACAGCTAAAGGAATGCGACCGAAAATATTCGATATTGCCAAATTTAACTACAAAAAAGCAATAATAATAATAAAAAAAGTAATTTCAATGATTTGAAAATCGATTTTTCACAATTCCAAAAAATATTAATTCAAAATACTGAGAATTTTAATGGGTTGTTAGCTCTATTTGTATTTACTAACTATTTTTTACTACTGAATCGTATTATAAGTAAACATTTTTCCAAAGATCTTATCTACATCGGTTGAGCTGGCAACAACCACCCGAAAGGTATATTGGACACCGCCTAAACGAATCTGATTGGCGGATATCCTCACATGTTTTGTCGCCATGAGAAAATTCGACTCCCTATTGGGTAGCGTCCCAGACAATTTTTTGCTCCTTTCTTAGAATATCCATACTATTGAAAAGTCCAATGGCGTAGGTTTTATCTCCGTTGATTGTCGTGTTGTACAACTATTATTGTTAACTATTTATTGTTCTATTAAGTTTGTATGTTTAGTGCTGTGTGTTTTTGAATAGTTTAGTGTTTTGTTATTTGATATTGTTATTCGTTTTAGTATTATTTTTTTAAAATGAACCAATTTACTCGCGGAAAGACGCTTCATAGCCAAACAAGAGAAGTGATTGCGAATGTTTATAGGTTAGTAATAATAATATGCAATAATTGTAGTTTTTGACGACTGAGTCTGAATATAAATAAAAAACAAGGAAATGCTAAGCTAACATTCTGATGATTATTTATAGGGTTTGCGATGAGGAAGCGGCAAACAATTCCCTCAAGTTGCCGCTTAAACGTAAGCTTGATAGGGTGTCCCTTTATACCGGAGTCGGAGTATCTTCTGTTAGGAAAATTCATAATGAAGATAAAGAAAGACTAGAAAATAACCCGAATAAAATGTTATCCAGTCCCGGAAAGAAAAGACCGCGTCAGTCTCTTGTTGAGAAAGATGAAGATTTTGATTTTCAGATTATTAGACATTTGATAAACAGATTTTATCTTGAATATAAAGTTGTCCCGACAACTAGGAAGTTATTACAAAAGTTGCGAGAAGTCTCAAATTTCCCCTATTCTAGGGAAACTCTCAGGAGTTTATTAAAATCAAATGGTTTTTTTTGGCGCAAATGTCAAAATAAAAGAAAAGTTTTGATGGAGAGGCCCAATATATTGCAATGGAGGTACAAATACATCCGTGAAATACGTAGATATCGTGAAGAAGGGCGCAATATAGTTTATTTGGACGAAACCTGGGTGGACAATGACTTGACTTTCAAAAAATTCTGGCAGATCGAAACTGTTTCTGGTGTAATAAGCAGTATAGGTTCTACAGGTAAGCAAAAATGCTATATATATGTTAAATTTAACTCTGATTTGTAACATATTATATAATCGTCTTGTATATTTTAGGTCGACTCATTATAGTGCATGCAGGTTCAGAAAATGGATTTGTTGACAATGCCTGTTTGATATTTAAGGCGGGATTAGCTACAGGCGATTACCACGGTCAGATGAATCGGGAAAATTTCACACGCTGGCTCACAGAAAAACTCCTCCCGAATATACCTGCCAATTCGGTTATAGTATTTGACAATGCTCCATATCATTCCGTCCAGGAAGATAAAACCCCGACAAAATCATCTTCGAAAAAAGATATAATGGCCTGGTTGACAAAGAAAGGTACTTATGACTCAAAACATGCATGTACATATCAAACTATACAATAAAATATTTTATAGGCATAAATCATGAGGCAACTGCCAGAAAATTTGACTTGTTCGATCTGGTCTCACTTCATAAGCCCCCTGACAACCAAAAAAATTATGTAGTTGATCGGATCATAAGATCACATGGACATACTCCTCTAAGAACACCTCCTTATTTATGCGAGCTAAACCCAATAGAATTAGCTTGGGCAAAGCTTAAGTTTCATATAAGAAGCCGCAATACCACTGGAAACTTCAGTTTAACCGCACTGAAAGAAGTTACTCAGGAAGCGATGTCCTTAAT